CCCAGGAAAACTCAAGCATTTCACCAAATCCATCCATCCAAAAAAAAAAAAAAAGAATTTCTCTGGTGACCCGAGTTGGGTTCTCCGGTGGGAACCCGAGCTGGGTTCTCCACTGAGAGAGAAAACAAAAAAAAGAAGAAGAAAGAAAGAGGTGAGGGAAAAAAGAAGAATGATCGGTGATCAAGGTGATGAGAAGATTAGAGATGGGTGATTGGTGATGAAGAAGAATGATCGGTGATGAAGGTGGAGGATGCTGAAGATCGGAGATGATGGGTAAAAATGGTGATTAGAGGATGATGGAAGAAAAAGAGAAGGAAGGTTAAATTTGTAATTTTATCCTTTGGTTTATACAGGAAAACTTTTATTCTATAATATGTGCACCCACCGGTGTTGAACCGGTAGGGGTACATATCTTTATCCTTTAAAAAATTGTTAAATTAATGATCAAGTTTAACTTAAATAATTTCATATAAGTATTTAGATTTTTAACCAAACTAATTTTATTGCGTAAAAGATTTTGTCCACATGTAATAAGTAATATTATTATATTAATGACCTATTGTTTCTAGTGAAAGAAACTCAATTTCCTTTAAATAAAATCTCAAATTAAGTCTTATGAATTGAGAAATAAGCGTTAAGAGAGTTTTCTCTTAATGAGATCTGATGCTATTCGATTTCAAATTTGTCGAAATCTAATGTAGTTATCGGATATTAAGAGATTAACAAAAATATATATACATATTTTTATATTATATATAAATAATAAATTTGAATTTTTTTCTGCCTAGACAATTTCTGTTGAGTAATTTACTTTATTGAAATCCTTTTTAATTATCACTTATACTATATAAAATTTGGTATGAAATTTAAATATGACAACTCAATTAATTCGAAGTGTGTTATTTTGGCTTATATGGTATAACAAGAGAAAACTATCGTATGTACTTCTTCTCTTCAATTTTAGTCGGTTTAAATTTTAATAAAATAAAAATATAATAATCATTTAATTAAATTTTATTTATTTTTAACTAATCATTTTTTAAATAAATGTCTTTATTTTTTTCAGCATTTAATGTGTCTTTAGATCAATTCATGCATCTTTCAAAACTAATTCCTATATGATTCGATTAAAAATAAGTCATTTAAATTAAAATTAAAAGGTTTATAAAAAATTATATTTTTATTAATTTATTAAAAGAATCGAATTTTAATTATTAAAACAAAAAATCTCTTGTTAACTAAATTATAACTTTTTAAATAATAAATGCATTTATTGTAATATATGGTATAATTTCCTAATAAAATAAAATAAAAATATTAAATGACATATTTAAAAATTAATTAATTTAAAAATTATAAAAAAGACATTTTAACAATTAAAATATTAAAATTTTTATAAGATTAATTAAATACTCTTAATAAATTAATATATAACAAATTTATTTAAAATATTTAAATAAATTTATAAAATTTTTTGACATATTATCATGTTTTAATTTTTATTTTTCTTTTAATTTAAAATATTTTAGCTTAATTAACAGTTTAAATAATTCAGTATTCTCTTTTCATTAAAAATAAAAAAATTTAAATTTAAATTACATAATATATAAATAAAATAAAAATAAAAAAATTTGTCATTTCATTGCACAAACAACATAAAAAATATGGATACATATATATTTTAACTTAAATATTAAGACAAGCGAAGTGTAAAGGAAAAGGAGTAAAATGAAAGGACGGGGGCGGTGGCGTGGGTTGTAAAATGAAGAGAAGGAAGAGGATAATCTTGAAAGGGAGGAAGTAATGATGAGAAAGGGAGACTAAAAAGTTAAGGTCATAGGGACGGTTTAAGTATTATCTATAATTATTAGGTTTGTCAAAACCGAGTATGGGATGTGGTAGGTTAATCATTTCGTTTGTCTAGGGAAGCCAAGCCAGGTCATTCGGGGTTCCCATTTTGGTGCCCAATATGCATCATGCCTCATCATGATCATCAACATCATTCTCATGGACAATGGATTCCCCCCTCCCCTTTGCGAGCAGGATTGTTTGATACTAATGCTAATTTTCAAACTAATAAGATATTTTTTAGCTGATTTTCACATAAAAAAGTATTTCATATATTAGATTATATTTTTAATACATAGGTATATTTATAATTTTATTAAAATATTTTTCATAAAATTATTATTTATATTATTTTAATATTTTAATAATTTTATAAATCCAACTATATTTTTAATATTTAATATGACTTATAAAATATGAATTTCTTTTTATATATTTTAAGATTAATTTATACTCAAACTAAGCTTAAAAATGCATGCTATACCTTAGGTCTTATATATTTAAAAAAGTTAATTTTTTTTTAAATATTCACTCTAAGCCTCTAAGCCTCTAAGAATTTAATTTTGAATCTATTCTATAATAACAACACCATCTCTTACTAATGGGTCAACTCTTGAGTTATCCCTACTATCGTTTTATTATAGATTAAGAACTAGGCCCAGAAAAAGAGAAGATCTTACCTGGGGTCAAAATCTTAGCAGGCCTTAATGGGTCATATGGCCTGGGCCAGCAATTAATTGTTTGAGTGATGTAAATCATGACTCAACCAACAGCCACCCAAAATAAAGCTAAGCAATCTCACATTTCACATTTCTGGTAGGTAACCTAATAATTTCCTAAGTTTTTTTTTTTTTTTTTTGTGCATGAATGTACCATGATGCTCCTAAGTTCGTTTGTGTATATATATATATAGCAACATCCGTCTCCCCATCAAACTCAAATACAAGGCAACAATGGGAACCAAAGCCGAAGAGCACATCTTCCGCAGCCATTACCCGCCAGTCCCAGTGCCCGATGACGTGACATTGCCAGAATTTGTGTTGGAAGGTGCTGAATTATACGCGGACAAGGTAGCATTTGTCGAAGCAGTGACCGGAAAGGCATATACCTATGGCGAGGTCAATAGGGACACAAGGCGGTTTGCCAAGGCCTTAAGGTCACTTGGTCTTAGGAAGGGACATGTTGTGATTGTGGTGCTCCCTAATGTTGCAGAGTATGCAATTGTTGCTCTCGGAATCATGACTGCCGGCGGTGTGTTTTCCGGTGCAAATCCAGCAGGACATGCGTCCGAGATAAAGAAGCAAGCAGAGGCTGCAAATGCCAAGCTCATAATCACCAATGGTCCTCACTATGAAAAGGTAATTTTACAATACTACACAATCTTATTAAGATAACAAAAAAACTATTATACAGTTCAAATTATATCAAATTATATAATAGAGTTTATTAGATGAGGAAATAATTCTCATATATTTTTATTGTATAATTTGATACAATTTAAATTATAAAATATGAAACTCTCAAGATTATTATCAATTTATTTTGTGATGCAATATGAGCAGGTGAGAAATCTAGAGATTCCGGTGATTGTCCTAGGCGAACGAATTGAGGGTGTTACAAATTGGGAGGAGTTGCTCGAAGCAGCAGACCGCGCTGGTACGACAGAGGTTACCAAGGAAAAGATCCTCCAAACCGATTTATGTGCGTTACCATTTTCATCAGGCACAACAGGAACATCAAAAGGCGTAATGCTTACTCATAGAAATTTAGTGGCAAATTTGTGTTCTACCCTTTTCAGTGTAGGACCGGAAATGATCGGTCAAGTAACTACATTAGGCTTGATGCCCTTCTTTCACATATATGGCACGGTCGGAATATGTTGTGCCACTGTTCGGAATAAAGGCAAAGTTGTGGTGATGAATAGGTTTGAACTTAGGACCTTCATGAACGCATTGATATCCCAGGAGGTCACATTTGCCCCCCTTGTGCCGCCAATAATCTTGCAATTAGTGAATAACCCCATCGTGGAGGAATTTGATTTAACCAAGCTCAAACTCAGGGCCATCATGACTGCAGCTGCTCCTCTTGCTCCAGAGCTATTAAAGGCCTTCCAAAACAAGTTTCCTGGTGTTCAAGTTCAAGAGGTCAACAATTCTCAAAGTTCTTGAGATTTTGCGTACGAATTTAAACTTTTTAGATGAAATAGTTTTTGACATGAATAATTTTCGAATTTGCATTTGTTTTATTTATATTGCCTAGGCTTATGGACTTACTGAGCATAGTTGCATCACACTCACCCACGGCGACCCACGACTGGAACATGCCATTGCAAAGAAAAATTCAGTCGGATTCATTCTTCCCAATTTGGAGATCAAGTTCATCGATCCCAACACCAAGCGATCTCTCCCGAAGAACACACCTGGTGAAGTTTGTGTCAGAAGCCAATGTGTAATGCAAGGTGCATAAATAATACTCTTGATTGCACTTGAAATCTTAACAATATTTGCTCCTGTGCACAACATTAGACCATATTGATCATATGAAATTTAACAGGTTACTTCAAGAATGAAGAGGAGACTGCTCAGACCATTGACGAGAACGGCTGGCTACACACGGGCGACATTGGATACATAGACGATGATGGAGATATCTTTATTGTCGATAGGATTAAAGAATTAATCAAGTACAAGGGTTTTCAAGTAAGGCAAATATTAAAAAAATTTTGGATCTGATATCACGTTAAAAATATCAAATAAAAAATTAATTAATTACAAATACCATTTAAATATGCAAATTTGAAGTGTAAAGGCCACTAAAAATCCCAAAATTTAAGTTACGTGAGATATGTTCACAGGTTGCTCCTGCAGAGCTAGAGGCTACTCTTCTCACTCATCCCTCAGTAGAAGATGCAGCAGTTATTTCGTAAGTTATATCGATATTAGATTAACTTGAAATTTAATGTATATATAGCTTATGAGATTATATTTGATCGATTTTAGGCTACCTGACGAGGAGGCCGGAGAAATCCCGGCTGCATGTGTGGTGATGAATCGGAGTGCCAAAGAGAGTGAAGAAGACATTATCAATTATGTAGCAGCCAATGTGGCAAATTACAAGAGAGTGAGGATGGTGCGCTTTGTGGACAGCATCCCAAAATCATCTTCGGGAAAAATCATGAGAAGGCTTCTTAAAGATATGATGTTAGAGAAAATGAGGACAAGCTCCGCCAATTGCAACATTAATGTCTGAAGAATTACATTCCAAGTACAATAAAGTTTTAGTCTCAAATTTTATTGGGGGCCTAGGTTGGCCCCTTGAGAACAAAAGCTCACAGAGTCTAATACAACAAATAATTAATCATGTAATATAAATTTTAAAAATCTATATTAACTAACTAGTGTTTGTTTCTCGAGAAAAATATTGAATGCCAATAATTTTATGATAAGAGAAAGTTTTTAATGTAACGTTTTCTTTACTTAACAAAAAAAAAATTAATGTTTCATTAAATTTAAAGATACACCAACATGAAACATGTGATATTAATTAAGAATTCAATAATACGGTATAGATAATCACCAACAAATTTCTAACATAAAATGTGAAGCTTCCAGTCGGTCAGATTTTCATAAGAAAAAAATACCTTTATTTATTATGATTCTTCATCGAAGGCCGAAAAAAATTTATTATATTCCCATTTTATGAAAGAACATTAACCTGCAAACGAGGTTGGTTGAGCACGTTCGGAGGTGAAACTATGGGATGTGCTCACGTGGGATCTTAAGAGATAATCATAAGCATGAGATCTTTGAAGTTTTTTTCCACTTTATATTAATTTGTGAAAGGCCGATAAAATAAAAAATAACAATTTGTATAAAAGAGGATTAATTTATTGAAATGCCAACCTCAGTCCCCACCAGCATGATTCATATAATATAACCAAGTTGGGGTCTGAAAGGATCAAGATTTTTGAAGAAACAGAATCAAAATTAATAAATTTATCCTTTATTTTTAGTTAATAATATCTGCTCAAAGTGAATGATCCACTTTTGATTGTCTTCTATTCTTTGATTAGAAGTTGCATGGGCGGTCCTTGATCTTTCAAGTATAATTTAGTTTAGTCATTAGCCTTTCAAGTATAGCTTTTAATCAATTTTGCAAATAATTATATGATGTTAATTGTAAACCTTTTGTAGTTCGTACTTTTATTTGTTCAAATTATATGTTTATGACATATTTTAAAATTAAAACAACATCCTTATATTTAAGAGAACAAAACATAACTACTCACAAGATTCTCAAAATCAACATCTTAGATATAATCTCGCTTTTCGTTAAGTAAAATCATATTTGTAAAAATTGAATTGATAAAATTAAGAGTTTATTAAGTTAATTAAAAATTATATCTTATTAAAATTTAACACTATATTTAAATTAAAATTTTATCTAAAAATTCTAATTACTAATGATTTATTTCAAATCTTTGTTGAATATTTTTTTTAATTTCATAATCATTATATTGTTTCAAATTTTAATGGTTTTGACCTAACAAAATATTTGTCATAAAAAATTGTTAGTTTAGCTTGTAAAAAAAAAAAAAAACATTTTGAAATTTTTTCCTTGAAGACCAAATTACATGGCAAAGATTTAAACCATGGCCGAGCAGCCCATTTGTGAACAACAAGCACAATTCCACCAATGCAATACTAAGGATTAGTAGTCAAGTTGGAATGCAAAAATCTATAAAACTTTTGAAATTTGTAAAATTGTGAATTTATGCAATTTTATCTAATTTTACAAGTTTATTATGATTTTATCCTAAATTTATGAGATTTCAATTTTTACTTTGATTTAACTCAATTTAAATGCCTAGAATTGTAAAATTGTAATTTTGACAACTATAATTACTCATAATATGTAATTTGTGTAAAATGACAACAATTTGATTGATGATATTAATATATTATTTTATTATATTTTAAATTATACAATAAAAAATAATTCTCTTTAATAATTTTACTAACTCTATTTATATTTTATACAATTCGAATTTAAAATTTTTTATTCTCACAAAAAAAAAAAGATTATAAAAAAAAAGATTATCAATTAACATGACATGTTATGGTAGTAAATGACAAAAAGAAAAGATCTATAGACTCAAATACCCTCTTTTTTTTGTGATTATCTGCGTTGTATAAATGAGAGTTTCATCCCTTGTGATCTACAAGAGAAAGAATTAAAAAGTTAAGAATCTATTTGAACTGCTCTTAAAAGATGAAGGACTACTTTAACAATTATTTCTCTGTTTCTTAGTGAGAAGATTATTGTTATAATATTTGATTTACATGTGTAATTTGGAAGTAGACAATTGTATTTGGACTTCTTGCTTTCTGTTGTGGGTTGGTTTACGTCTATTATATGGTCAAAAGTTGCTGGGCAAAAGGACACCTGCGTGAATTCACTGTTAATATAATTTAAAATATTACTGAATAAAAAACAAAAATGAGATTAGTAGGTATTATCAGCATCTGAGATGAAACCATGGCGTTGGAAGCTCTCTTTTTATTAGATTCTCTCCTCTGACCAAGGAAGATATGGAGTAAATTGCATCATACTCATCTCACTTCATGATATATCAATCAACCATTTTTAAGCTTTTGTTTTATATTTTAAGAAAGAAAAATTACTTATAGGTGTAAATTATATTAAATTATAAAATAAAAAATTTTAAATTAAAATAATACCTTTAATATTAAAGGGTTTTTATGTAAAAATTTTTATTTTATATTTTAATATGATAAAATAATAAATTCCTTTAAAATATATATTATTGTGATATAGAATAAATTTTGTAATTTAAATTACAACATAATCTTTTTATATTAACAACTCATCCTTGCTATCAGATACTGTATTGATTTTATTTCATAAAGATTAAAAATAAAATTTCATTAAATTATAAAACAATAAACATTATTGGCATGACATAAAGTAAATTTTACAAATTAAATTACAAAATAATCATTTCATATTAAAAATTTCATGTCTACCATCAAAAACTTTATTAATTTTATTTCTTAAAAATTAAGAATAAATCCTTATACCACTAAACAATTAATTTTTCCATTCACCAAAGAGAGATTAAAAATAAAAACCCCTTTGATCTATTGCTGAGAATATAAACAGCTCGGTGAGGATCACATGGCTAAAATTGTAAACCAGTAAGAAAGAGAATCCAGAAATTGGTGTCGACGCCATTGACTACAATCCACAGTCAACTGATATTTCCTGCTCCTCCTCCATGGACCGAGTAGGCTCAGTAGTCCCAATTCCCAAGTAATATTTCACTCAGTGCTCACTGTGAACACGGAAGCAGTCCTTTTAAGAAATGTCAAAAAATTAAGGCACCACTACCACGGCACATCACAAGCAAATTGCCCCTCCTCCACATGTCCTCCCCTTTTCCTGCGAAAATGATTTGAGAACATCAATATCATTTCCAGTTTTCCATCCTCCAAAAACCAAACCCCATCTTATCTCTCCTCTCAGTATTTTTTTCTCAGTCTCCTCAGATTCACACTCACTCCTCCTTTCCCTTTCAAGCTTGTTCTTTTTCTTGCTTTTTTCCCTCCATTTCTTTGATCGGTAAGTATCATGTATGTTCAGTACAAATCTTATCTTTTTTATTTTCTTGGAAAACTGTGGAAAATGAGAAGATGTAGAAGTGGTTTTGGTCTTGTTTTGTTTTCATTTCTCTGAAAAAAGGTAGAGGTGAAAGCAAGCGAAACCCCAATTTCTAAAAATGGGGAGACAGCTTTTGTTTTTGCGGCTCGATTGAAACATCGTTTTCTTGATACCTTCATTATGGGGGGTTTTGTTTGGATTTTAGATAGGTGAAAAAAATATGCTTTTTTCTTCTTATTTTTCATTGTTAAGAATCCCTCTTTCATTTCCTAATTTTCTCGGGAAATCGAGAAAAACGACAGCCTATTTGATATTAAGGATGGTTTTTCCTGGAAAATTTTACAACTTTCCATTTCCAGCTAAGTGTAAATGCCATGGAAAGGGGACCAATGAACCCTTTTTTCCTGAAATCTTTTATGAAATTAATAATCTAGGAAGGGGACCAGGACTTCCCTTGAAAATTGAAGCTTCTTTTTCATTATTTTGATGTGTTTTGTCCAGGCAAGGGACAGATTTTAGTTAGTATGTGTTCTTTCGGTTTCAAGGCAATGAAACAAAAGTATGATGATTAAAAGTTACAATTTTTTTTTACAAAATTTGTGAATTTCTTGATTGATTCTGATGTTATTTCCATTAGGTGAAGTGGGTTGTTGTTGGCTCCGGTGACCAGGACCGAGGAGCAGACGTACATGTGATTGTGGGGTTTTTCTGTGGCAGTAAACTGTTGAATTTCTGGTCTGTTAGGGTTTTATCTTTCATTTGGACCGCAGTTTGATAGTGGTTGTGGGTCTTAGTCAAGGACCTACTTCATGTTGTCGCTTGGATGATTGAATGTGAATTATTGGGGTTGAAGCTCTAGAGGGTACCCGATTTATTTGCATGCCAATGTTTTTGTATTGAACATTGTTACCCTTCATTGAAATTATTGAAGTGAGAGAGAGAGAGAAGAGAGAGAAGTTGGTGCTTGTTAGCTTTGTTGGGTTGATGGATGAGGGTAAACATTTTTAGGGCTCTGAGTGGATTTCAAGGTTTTAGGTGGGGGAATTCACTGCCTGCGTTGAAAGTTATTAGGGGAAATTTACAAATTTTACTGGGTTACGCTTTTGCAGTACGTTGAGGCCAGCAGAGATCGTTTGGAATTATGCTGTTAGTTTGTTTAGAGCACTAGGAAATGGAAGGGAGAGAAAGTTTTGTGCTGCTTTTGTAGTTTGGAATTCACGTGCTTAAATTTAGGCCGCTGATTTTACTTTAGTTGTCTGAATTTAACACATGCAGATTCATATCTGCAAGAGAGTTACTGGATTGAGACGTGAGAGGTTAGTTTCTTGAATTTCTCTGGTGCACTGTTCTGCATTTTCTTGAGCTTTGAAGTTCGGTTGATTCGAAGGGGGATTGCTACAAATATTACTAGGGTAAATTCGGATTATTAGAGTAAAAGTGGGAAAGAAATAAAAGCAATACTCTTTCAAGCAAAGGGGATAGATTATTTGCTATATTTTCAACCCACCAGATCTGAGTGACTGAGATGGCCGAATGACATGAGATTCTGAGGTAAGGTTTGTTATTCACATGTCAGATTTAATTTTTCTTTCTGCTGATTCACTTGCTATCCACTGTCTGAAATCACTTACCATTTTCCTTCATATTTAATGTTTTGGATTTTGTATGATTGGACTTGCAATTGTCCTTGTTTTATTACCTATTATGAATCATTCAAACCTTTATGTTGTGATACTCTCAGGACCTGGTTGCTGTTGTTCATGTTTTATATGAATAAAACTGCATTAGTTGATTCTGTGAACTCTCTCTCTCTCTGATGGAGTGGAATGTCAAAACCCCCGTACAGTGGGACTGGGACAATCTGATTATGTTTAATGCAACAACTACTGAAATTCCTAGGAAGCCACGGTCAACAGAGTGGGAAATTGACAGAGGAATGGACTCCGGGTCTCTCATCTCATTTGGGGCTGGAGGTGGTGGTGGTTCTGGCTCTGATTTGGGACTTGCTTCTTTGTCAAAGAGTGCGAAATCAGCATCCATTAATTCTTCATCTTTGGGGGAGTTAAAGGGAAACAAATTTACGTTGGAGGGCTTCAAAGGTATTCCAAATGATTTTAGCTGTAAGAAAGATTTTGCCAAGGTTGAGCAACCTGGCAAGGCACCTGTTGAGACTTCAGTTGGCTGTGGTGAGCCATTGCTTGGTTTGAAGCTTGGTAAAAGAACATACTTTGAAGATGCTTCTGCAGGAAACAATGCAAAGAGTTCATCTTCTTCTGTGGTTCCTGCATCCTCTGTTGTTCCAGCAAAGAGATCCAAAGCGAGTTGTCAGAATACAAATGCTCCACATTGCCAAGTTGAAGGCTGTAACCTAGATCTATCATCAGCCAAGGATTACCATCGGAAACACAGAGTGTGTGAAAATCATTCAAAGAGCCCAAAGGTCATTGTTGGTGGTTTAGAACGTCGGTTTTGCCAGCAGTGTAGCAGGTCAGGCTTCTTATGGATCTTGTAATTTAATATTGGAGGACGATCGTGTCCAAGGAATTTTCTTTTTCAGTTCATTACATTTAATCTTGCATGGAGATAATCTTAATATAGTAGTTACTACAACCAAGTACATTAATCTATTACATGCATGAGATCTCTAAGCTGATGATAAATTTTTTTTGTTTCTAGCTAAGAATGAATGACATTGAGCTGATAATTACTTTGTTCATGATGATATCAAAGGTTCCATGACCTGTCAGAGTTTGATGAGAAGAAGCGAAGCTGTCGCAGGCGTCTTTCTGATCATAATGCAAGGCGCCGCAAGCCACAGACAGAAGCAGTAACCTTCAATCCAGCAAGGCTGTCTGGATCACCATATACTGGTACTGATTTCAGACATAAAACTTTGATATTTTTCTTCTCATAAGATAGAGCATAATTGGAGTTATTTATGAAATGCTAATATTGATTCACATTGGTCATTTTAAGTACCTTTAAGTACCTTCTTCATCTTGACATAAACACAGGAATGAAATTTCTATTAATTTTACTAACTAAAATTTCTTTTCATTTTTTAATTTTTGTAAAGTGTTTTATATCTTTGTTCTTAGTGTTTTTATGCCCTAACAAATGGTGCATAAAAGTTAAGCTATAATGGTTTTTTGAGCTTTTTATCTAATATGTTTTTCCTGGTCTAATGTGCTAAGAGTTAGGGTTCTCTTTTGCAACAAATAGGCCATAGATAATAACAAATTTAAGGCTTATATTCTTTTTGAAAAAACAACATATGACCTTGAATCTTTAAGAATCAACTGCCATATTTACTGGGTCAATTGTTTGATTCTTGTCGATTATTTTCGTTGATTTGCATTCTTTATCCTAATTCCATTAGGAAAAAAATTTTTTTTGGGCGAACAATTCCATTATATAGTTTGGGGTAGGTTTATATTATGCTTTATTGGACTTTGGACAGTTGCCCACCAGCATACCTCTTGTTCAGCCGTATTAGTTATAATTCATTTTGGAGATTCTTATCGACAATATACAGACTTGAGACTTGTTACCATCTTTTGTTCATATACAAGCTGAATATGTGGTATGGCTCACTTATGTATAAGACATGATTTCATCTGTTTACACCTTTTCAGATGGGAAGCACGAGATAAGTTTTGTTTGTAATAGGGTTCCATTTATTCACCCAAGGCCCAATGAAAATTTTGTGTGGGAAGGCTCATTCAGCTCCAAGTCTGCGCAAATGAAAGGTCATACACATCCAAAAGTCGAAAGCATTAACGGAGAGCTGCAACTACCAGGCAACGAGGCTTGGAATCCCATCTCAAAGTGTAATCATGATTCATCTGGGTTTGAACTCCCAAAAGCTAAACGCGGTGCAACTGAGGTTCTCAACCAAGGTTTGTTTCTGTTCTTAATAGAAAACAAGCAATGTTCCTATGTTATTATTCTAGATGGACCTTTAGTAGTATACAAAAATCCCTATGAAACTTTCTGGCATTCATAATATATTCCCTCAAGCATGAGCAAGTTAGATTACTTGACAACTGAACAATATGTTGCTTTAGAAAGAAACAAAAAACAATAAGAGGCTGACAGTTGAGACCTGTGGATTAGAACTTTGTTTACCTTAAAAACGATGTCAAAGATAATTAGGATAATGGAACATACATAAGTCAACTACTGCCTGCACAATTGTGGGGCAGATTTCAGTACAGATGAATGTATAAGAGGCCAATTTCTTGTCTAGTGCCTTAGCTATGGACAATTTTAGAAGCTAGTGGTTTCTAGAATGGTTCTTGTTGACCTAAAAGGTAAAATAGGTAATGGTGGTCATAGTGTTTGATTCCTTATTTTGGCATTTCTAGATTGCAACTGAGCCCAAGAGTGGATTTTTACTGTAAATGATAAATAACAAACTTTCTGGTTGTCATTGTAAGGTGGAATGACTACAGTACAAGGTATCTACCATTTGAATGACTTGGAGTAAAGTTCATTAAATTAAACCACCTGTGTCAGTGGAAAAATATGTAATTTTTGTGTTTGGTTAACTGATTTGAGGAAGTGATTCACATTTTGATAATTTCTGTGCAAAGTTTTTCAAGTACTGATATTAGTCTAAAATGCACCTGGTTTCTGTTTTCTGTGGCTTTAGGAAAGCATGTGATAACATGTTGAGACTTGAATCTTGTGTGTATAACAAAATGCTTAGATGAAAGTGGCAATTGGTGTATGTCGTTACTAGTTGATAGTGGAGCCTATTTGGCCTGAGATTGTTTAATAGCAATTGGGATAATTTAGTTACTGTTTGTATTCTTGTGTTTCGAGGCAGCATTCCTATTTTGGGATTGAGGCATCATTTTAACAAGATGCTCCTCTTTCGTAATTGATTTACAAACTAAGTTGATTGTTAAATTTTGTAGATGTTGAAGAATCAACAATCTCAAATATGGGCATGGCACAAGATCTCCAGCGTGCTCTCTCTCTTCTGTCAACTGATTCATGGGGTTCATGTGAGCCAAAACAGGGCTCACTCGACTACTCCATTCATACAAACAACACTGACATCTCTCAGCCTGTGATGCATACAAATTCCCAAGGGTTTCCTCTTGCTTTGTCTGAGAACTGGCAGATTGAGCACCAGTCAACCGCGTCACAAGTGCAAACAACGTTGCATGGTGACAGTGACTATCATTTTCAAGAATTCCAGCTGCTGAGGGCGCCATATGAGAGTGGCTTTTATTCAAGCAGAATAAACTGACCCCCAAATTTGGTCATTTGTTTTAACCCGATAAATTCTCATATTGAGATTTTAAGTTTGACTTCTTTTCCAGTTCCCTAGTTCTTTCTCTCCTCTCTATTTCATTGTTTTCCTTGAATCTGCAATTCTCTGATCCATTGCTTTAATTTTCTTATGCTAGCAGACCATGGTGTCTTGAATTGCTCTGGTAGGTCATCATATTTCGTATTTCTTTTTTTTCTTTTTTTTTTTTTAAGGACAATGAGTAGGAGTTAGGGGTTAAGGGTTAGAAGTTAGTACCTTGGTTTTTGGCAATATGCTCGACTACAGGTCGGGGTGCAATTTACCGGTAACTTTTTTGGGCTGCAGGGGCATCACTGAGCCATGTATTTCGATACCATGTCCAGCATTTGTCCATTATTACACCCATTAGGGTCATCTAGCAAAGAACCGGCAATCGTAGCGATGTAGTCTTAGCCGCCTTCAATTAAACTTTTCCGACTGTTGGGGAAGTTATTATTAGAAAAATAATTGAAAAAGTATTATGTAGAAAGTTAAAAAATACTGTAATTTGTTTGCTTTATTGTTATTATTATTGTGTATACGGTGAAAAAACTAATTCAGAAAAAATTGGTAAAAAGTTAACAAGTAAACCCTATATTTAAAGAAGTTGAGGGAGTTTTTTTTTTAAGAAAAATTTATAGTTGATAATTATATTTAAAAAATAAAAACTAAAAATATTGCTTTTATTCTTTGCTGTATTATTGAGATATGAAAATAAGTAAATAATCTCAAAATATCAAAGGGAGAAAATTGGGGAAAAGCTTTCTTCCACAATCCAACGCCACTAACGTAATTTCCAACTTTAGGGGTTTTGCCGCTTTGCTTTTGCTACCTTTCTTACCTATGTTTTACGTAATTTCCAACTTTAGGGGCTTTGCCACTTTGCTTTTGCTATCTTTCTTAACTATGTTTTCCAGAACCAGTGATGCAATTCACTTTTAGTAGACTTTCTTTTATTCATTTTTAGTAGAGTTAGTATGATATTATAATTTTTAAAATATACTTTTTAAATAAAAATTTAACAATCTATATAAATAACAATTATTTATATATATATTGCTTATTAATTATTTTTATTTAACTAAAATTTTTTTAATTATTATTTATAT